GCGTTTCTTAAAGAAGAAAGAACTAAGTTTAAGAATCTAAGGAAAAAGTAGAAGGACTTACTTTTTCAGAAATTAATATACACAGGAGAAATTTCACCCCTTTAAGTATAAATGCTTGTAAAAGTAGAGGTGGAACCGGAGGGAGAGAGGGTGGATGGTAAAGTAGGTTAAAAATAGAGAGATGAGAGGAGCACGTTGATGGAGCACATTATTCAAGAGGGTATAAATACAAAAAAAGAATCAGCAATCTGGAGGCATTTTTGAAGACTTAATGAAAACGTTATCAAAACAAGAAAAACGGAGAAATCTTGTCCAATAAACCTCTCTGGCAAATGTGTGGACATGGTTACTGACTGCTCAATCGTACTCTTCTCGACCCTTTGGCGTCAAGTTTTTTCACGTTTCTTGCGACAGGAGGAGCAAATCGGCTATATAAAGTTGAACTGAACATTTTGGTACTTTAAGTCTCACTAATTTTTACAAAACCAGAGACATGTTTCAAACACTGTTCAAGTTAAAAAAAAATTGCTTTTATTGCAAAAATGAAATACTTTTCACACACGTCCCCAGGACATTCCTCTTAGAAAATGGCAGGGGCGGGAAAGCCCTGGGGACGAGGTTGACTCCGTGTAGAAAGTTCTTTCTTTTTTTCCCATTTATAGTGCTCTTCAAACAATCATCAGGAAACTATCTTTTACAACACACGGATTAACCTTTATGTATAGTATTTTATAGGTAAGAATTGGTTAGAGCAAGATACACGGCTGTCAAAGAATAGAAATAATTCAACTATCTTTGCAAGCTCAAATAAACTGGAAACGAACATCAGAAAACATCGCAAGATAAAATGTTAAATGGAGAAATTAGAATATCTCTGTACGTTTAGAAATTTTTTTGCCTGAAGAAGACTTACATGATGGAGAAAAACTTTGACTTACTTCCTGCCGCAGTAATTATTTTGCCAGTATGATCCAGAGTGTGACCGGGGTATTGACAAAACCTTAGGCTCGATTTCCGCCGTCTCCCGATCCCTTGGGGGCTCATTTTCCAGCACAGCGGCTTACAATCGAGCCTAACAATACCTTGGCTCTCGAAAAAACCTGCCAAGTAGGTGTTTGTGCCTTGGGCAGATTGTGATTTTAGTGTTAGCCTGTGTACACACCACCCACCCCCCTACCCCAATCCCTAGGAGAAGGGACCCCTTCTACGATTTTTCCTAAGGGGAGGGAGGGTGGTGGTGGGGGGGGGGGGGTCGACACAGGCTATTATTTATTGTCTGTGCCTTGGGCAGATTGTCATTTCAGTTCCGAATACCTACCAAACCTCTACTCTCGCTAAAATGAGTTCATTCAGTCATTGACTTTGCTACACTTAGACAAGTGACAGCTGGCTAAGTGCGTCGTAATATCATTCATGCACTCTGCGACAAAAACATTTCCCTCCACACCCCTACTGGGACCACACTCTGTCTTGACGATCTCGCGGAAAGAACAGCCTGATCATATGAAATAGCCGAATAAGCCATTTTTCACAATTGATCTCTTCGGCGATTTCATTGACATAATTATATTTGAAACTGGCACCTGTTGCATTATAATTCAATTAAATTGAAACCAAAACAAGATCATCTTGGGAATACGGATGTTATACCCTAACAAAAACTAAAAACTGAGATAATCCCTTCTGCGTGTATTCACTGAAAAAAGAAATTATTTTTCCCGTTTCATTCTGCTACCGATTATCGGATAAACCCTTTAAAGATCTTTGAATGAAACTGAAATTTACAGCTAATTTGCCTTTTGCAAAGCTATAATTGGATTTTCCCTTAAAAAAAAAAAAAAAAAAAAAAACTTTTAAAATAGAAAAAGTGTGGGGCATTTTTTTTTTTTATCATAGTGCAGTGTACAAAGATCTCATAAGCAAAAAAGAGTGCCCAAAAATTTTATTGTGCTGACAAGAGGACCTACCTTACAAGTTAACTCTTATTTTTTATTATTATCAAAAACTATCATTTAAAAAGAGATAATAATATAATAAAAATGATCGATTCAACGCTATTGTTTTCTAATCGACCGCCCCTCTAGGAATGCGTGACAGGCCACAGTAATTGAATTATTTTAAGCCACGCAAACATATATCATGATATATTATTCAGCTGCTTCGTCCTCGTTAAACAAAAAAAAAAAAAAAGACCTTAAGGGGATTCTAAGTGATGGTTCGTGTTTTTCTGTGGAAAGGAGAGTTAATTTTCTCCTTAGAAATGTGAAATGTAAGGATTATGTTTCATGTCAAGTTGTTGAAACGACGCATCTAAGGCTAATTTGCATACAGAGAATGAAGTCATGTTCATTGCATGTTCATTGTCGACAAGAAAAAAAACAAGAAAAAGCGATTACCAAGTTTTCTTCACATGTTTTCGAAAGTCCAACATTTCAAGGGTCGAATGACAGTTAGTGATGACTAGAAACGTAGCTGTGGAAATTAGTCGACCAGATGCAGACCGTTACAATTCCCGCTTTGCTGTCAAAATGGCGAATTTTGGAACCTTAACGGAACTTTGTACAGCACGCAAAGAAGAGTGCCCACAAATTTTATTACATTAAGAAGTAGACTGGCCTTAGTACTTCTGTTTTATCATAGACTTGAGTCTGGGTCAGGTGCCACTTTTGCGAAATTACCGTTTACCTCTAGTTATGCAAATTACTTTTCCCGATAAGCAAATTAAAGGTCATTTTCAAAAAATCATATCTCAGCCAACTTTCCACAGAATGCAACAATTAAACCTTGAAACTATTAATCAGAGTTAAAACATTTGTGTGTAAAATAATCAGCTTATTCGGCTTTGTAAGACAGGTTTGACAGAGCCCTAAAGTTTCCTTAAAATCGCACCACTTCCGACGGCAAACTGGCCAGTTTTAGGTGACCTAGAAAATCTTTCTCTAAAATAGAGAAAAAACTGAGTTGGTCCAAATAAATGTGATATTTCTTCATGGCATAGGATAGTTATCTTTCACTGAAAAAATCAGGGCAATCCGTGATAGACCCAAATTTGCCTTATCGGTTCTTACGCGGACAGCCTCTTAATAACTGAGGACTGAGTGGGCCTCGGTTACAAAGACGAGGAAAGGCCGAAAAAGGACAGTGAACAATTACGAACAGTTAACTTCACTCGATTGCTATACCGAAGGCTATAATTGTTTTAATGAAACAAATAAAAATAACAAAAAATAAAAGAAGGCGACTATGTTTTACTATTGGAAAAGTCGCCATTGCTCCAACTATACACACTGATGCATACACACGAATAGAATACTAATCATGTTGTGGCAATGTGGACGGTAGCTTATGAAAACTTAAGATGGGTTGCATATTTTCACCGGTTAATATCAAGTTTAAAATATATAAAATTACAGTATTAATATCACCTAATTCTTAGTTGTGACATATAAAGCAAGCAAGTACTTGTAAAGTGTACACATACAACAGCGTAACAGCATCGTTTTTTTCTTTCCCAAGACAACCAAGTATTCTGTAGTAAGACTTGCAATATAGTTAGTGATGACTGATACTTATAGGGACAGGTTCAAGGTTCAGCGCATGCTCATTTATCAAAATGCTGTTTTTATGCTGGGACATGCTGTATCGTCTATGCAAGCATTATGATCATGTCATAATGTTGTCAACGGAACCAATCTGCACACTCCCCTGGCAGTCACCTGCACTTGATCAGATTAAATATTTGCAAATAGCTGTAAATTAATCAACCATGGAATAAAAACCTTCGGGTCAACAATAAATTCAACGTTGGTAGTGTTGGCATAATCCACTGATTTTTTCTGCGATTTTAGTACTCCTCCATCCTACTTCAGGTTACTCTGAAATACACTTCTACTATGAAATACACTCTGAAATCGCTGAGATACATGTGGGTGGGATTATTAACCGATAGAATTAATAATAAATTGGAAAAAGTAATTAATGAGCATGCGCCTGACCGTGAATCTGTCACTTCAATGTAATTGTGTACTTTGGAGAGTATCTGCAGAGGGTACACTGCCAAGATGGCTGGCTTCCTATTCTTTTCTCAACCTTGATCCCAGTATTCTCTCAACCCTGGGAACGAGGTTGTTCTTGTCTGAGTGCAGCAACAGCTATTGTCTGTTTAACATTAATTTTAAGTGTTCCAAATTTCTTAGATTCCAGTTTCGAATTCGTCGTGGCTGCTGAATAATAGTGCCAAAGACTTATTTGTGTGGGTTAGCCTCGGCCTAAAGGGAAATATTTACAAATACCGACAAGTAGGTGCCTGAATTTGAGTTTAAAACCAATACACACAGTTGTAAAAATGTCTTCTTCTGTCTGGAATTTGTGAATATATTTATTTTAGGTCGAGGCTAACCCTGTATAAACAAGTCTTCAGTGCTTCTATTCAGCGGCCACAACGAATTCGAAACTGGACAATTGCCAATGCGATTCGCACAAATTTCCCACTTTCATAAAGAAAGTGTCGCCGAATTTGCAAAGCAAATACACAAAAAGAAATAACGGCAACTTGCCAATGCAAGAGTCAGAGGAGTTCGAAATTAAACCAGACTTCACCGATCTTACTTTTTCATCAAATGTTGGGTCACCCACATTCTAAACAAAACGTCTGGATTCAAAACATCCGACTGTATTTCTATCTAAAGCAGATAGCAGAGGCGTAGCCAGCTTTTCGACTAGTAGTAGGCCTGGCTGACTTTCATTTCCACATATCCTGAAAATTGCCTGCATTACCAATACGCACTGACCTCACCAACACTTTGAGCTCTTAAGCTTATTAGCTCACCCCAACAACCCATAATTTACTGCAAGTGAGTGATCAAACCAAAAATCTGTAGGCCGGGGCCTACAGGTCTATGGGCTGGCTACGCTCCTTGATAGTATGAGCTACTTAGGTGAATTATGTAATTACTGTTGCCACTCTCTCTATCCTTTGGCCGATTCTTTCGGCTTTCATGTCACTGAGCTCCTTCAGCCATATCAAAGTTAACGTAATCGGCATCATTATACGCATCCAGGTTGATGTAAATCTGTTAAAATACAAGATGAAGCCTAATGCGTTATTCAAAAAAAGATATATTACATTTGATGACAAAAAAAATGGGTTCTCCTTTACCAGATCAACTTAAACGTGACGCTGACAGTTTGATATTTGATGGGAAAGTAGTTCTTGTGGCGCAGTGGGGTAGGGACGGTGAATTTTCCCTATCGTTTTATAAATTAAAGCTAACAAACAATTATAAAACAGCTTATAAAGTATTGGGAAGGAGTTGGGGGACTTAGATTAGTTTAAGGAATACAAGAGCGCAGACTGCCAATAGACTCTCCTGGAAGTAATACAACATCAAATTCAACATCGAAGTTGTTGAAGGAACCATTCAATCGGACTATTGACGTGTTTCCTTACTTTTAAATGGCAAATATTCGTCAGTAACGCATTGAGAACGCTATTTAATTTTCCTCTTTTTTAGTGATTTTCTTAGTAAGGATGCAATTGACCTTGAAAATAGTCTCTTTTTTAATCGAAATGGATTGTTTTAATTGAAATGAAATGTTTTTCATTAGAATATTTTTTAATGAAATAATTTTTCTCTGATCAAAACTAAGTGTTTTTTTTTAAAGGGAAGAAATTGTAAATGGTGTTTGACGGAATAGTTGTTTTTAACTGAATTAATTGTAAATAGGATTTTAATAGATAGCATTGTTATAAAATCGTTATTACTATTATTATTAACACATAAATAAGTTCTTTGCATCATTTTATCCACAAGCTTTATTTTTATTGTTGAAAGAAGTTAAAAAAAATATGCGCTTTCACTCAAAAATGGCTTGAACACCTGTGTTACTTATGACGTCATATCTCGCAACCATAGTAACTGACCATCACTTAACTTATCTCAAAATGTGCGCGAGGGATAGACAAACAGCTACTGAAAACTTCAGGTGCTGATGTTTTATCGTCTAGGAAGAAAATCAGAAAAACCTTAAAGGGGGAGGGCAACCATCCCCCCCCCTTCCTTGTGCGTCTGAGGGTTAAAACGCAATATGTTGAAGTTGCTGTAACACAAATAAACAGGGTTTGCAATCAAATGTTCCAGGATTTTAGTCGGCAAGGCTCAATCTGCTATTCCCCGCCCCCGGCCACATCTTTTGATTTGGCTCTCTACAACCTGGGTTTCTTGGATGGCTTTGCGTGCGAAAGCATATTCTGAAAGGCTATAGAAGGAAACTAATCACTGTCTCTACCTTAGTATCTTTTATCAGCCTATTAACAGCAGTGCGGATCCACTTGAATTTCGGGCGTTCTTTAGGTTTCTCAGACCAGCATTCAGACATTATAGAAAATCTGGAAAACAGGATAATCAGGATAATTGTCGCCCTCCAAATTACTTTTATTATATACTGGACGATTTACCTTCCCACCTGAAAAAAATGTGAAAAGGTTTATTTCTATCAAGAATACCTCGATTTATACGGATTTTAAGTAAAATGGAATACATTCAAACAATTCAAAATGTCGGATCCAAGATGGCGGAGTTCCCTTTTTAGTAATTAATGACGTCATGATGACCTCACTGCTATTGTTTAGGTGTTAGCCGACTTATTAATTTTATCAAACACCTTACTATTTCAGTCGTTTACGCTTTAAAGTTTGAAGGAAATTTGGAGTCTGCCAATAAATCCAACAATATGACGTCATCATCACGTCAGATTGAGTCATTGGGTCAATAAAGTTATACTCAAAAGCTGGAAATGAAGAGCTCATTATCCTGCGTAATTTTGGTGGCCGTAGCTTGAGCTGTTTTGAAGTTATAGACAAGAGGGCTCCGAGCGGAATAGGGTGAACGAAATGTTAAGTCTATGATCGACTAATGTTTTTTAACCCTCTACACTGTTGTCAATCTACCCATCAACTTGTCAATCCACCCTTTTAATAATCAATCGACTGACGACCACAATACCCACTCTCAAAAAGGAATTAAGGGATACCATGTGTTGAGGTTGCTGCTATAATAAATTACTCACAGTTCCTCAGAAATATGGATTGGCCGTTGCATTCGATATCCTCTTTTAAGCAAATACACCGTCTGCTCGGCGTTCAAACCGGGGTAGGGTGAATCACCTGTATAATAGAGTTTAGGAGAGTTCTTGTACAGGGTACTTTCCATTTGTCAGAACTGACCGGCCAGACGGCATTCCCGTCATAATGAGAATTTTACTTGGTACCAACACTATCCAGACAGATCAGTCAATAATAGTATACGTGAAGGAGATGGTTTTTCAGCAAAAATTCCTTTAAAAAATGCTGAATTTATATGCTAACTGACTGGTCCGGCTGGCCAGTTCTGACAAATGGAAAGCGTCCACAATCTTTATTCTGTCCGCAAGAAATGGATATTAGTGCAATCGATTCGAAGTTACCTATTGTAAAAACCTCCCAAAGAACAATTCCGTATGACCACCTGAAAAAGAGAAATCAAGCATTTTTGTAAATAGTACATTGGTTGTAAAGAATTTATTTAGGAGCCTTTATTGACTGTGTCAAAGTACTCTTTTTCAGAAATATCTTTAACTCATTTCCTAAATATGAAATATCAATCTGACGTTGCTGACGTTATGCTTTGCTATACTTGCCAGTGTCAATGAAACCATTACCATGTCTGTCACTACGGTCCTTTACCTTTTTATCAACGGAGTACAGTGTTTGTTTCTCCAATGATTATGGAGAAAAAAACAAATGATTTTGGTCAAGGAAATGGTTTCAGCTCCCACTTGCAAAGGGATTCTCAAGATCTTTCCACATTAGCACAACTCACAAAGGGACCCACTGGATACGTAAGCCAGACAAGGGCTGGCCGGTTAAACTTTGTAAGTACTGAGCCCGTTTGGATTCTTTCCACTATTCTTTACAATAATGCATGGCGCAGCAGTAAAATTGGATAGGTCCTTAAAGACACGCACTTGGCTTATTTCGTAACAATTGACTCCACAGACGATAGAAAGCTAACTACTAACACGTCACTCATGGCGCTGTATTCACCGTAAAAGATAGACTCTGGAGGCATCCACTTGACTAGAAGACGAGCCTTTGTAAAGAAAAGAAGAAGCGATAGCAGATGATGAGCAAACGATAAAGAAATAAACTAATTATAGAAAGTAGCAGTTTCCTTTTAGATTGGTCTTAGTGATTTTTTCTAGTTTAGTGCAGGTTGAGACAAAAACTAAAAAGTAAAAAAAGACTAAATGCCAGGGGGAGGGTGGTGGGGGCAATTCCAGTGTAATGTGTCCGTATTAGACAAAATACACGACAAAGCTGTCTCGAATTTGAACGCGTGTCGCAAAATACTTGAATTTAACATTAACTTGACTGGAAAATCATTAACAGAATCCCACTTGATGCATTTCCATTTCAAAACATAATTTTCTTGTCTACAAAAACACACAAAATGAACCTTAAATCCCGCGCTGAAATCCTTAAAAACCTTCGCTCTCTCGGGTGTCCTTTTGAGCTGACTCCGCCTGGAAGACTGACAATGATGAAGTCCTCCTGGGCAAATTTGTCGCTTGATCTTTTCACTTTTCCTTGAAGCATTTATTTTTTCAACTTCTACTCTTCATTTGTATATTTCATCGGTGCATTTTAAACCTCACAAGAGAGGAGATCTGCCAATTTGCCTCAATTTTAACGCCCTAGCTTTTCGTTGGTGTGCATCACTGTGGAAATGGTAGATGGTTAACTGACCAATCAGAGCGCGCTTTACTTCTGTTATGTCATATTTGAAATATACACCATATGACTTATAAGAATCTCTAAAGAAGAAGAAGTTGATCTATCGAGTGTAAAACAAATCTTATGAAAGTTAAGTCGCTTCAAGGGACAGAGCTTTCAGCCACAGATTGTTATCAGTTTATTAGCGTGGTTAGATTTAAACTTTGAATTTAAGGTTTCGAATTGACTATAACAAACGAAGTGAAATGTTATGAAGTGTAAATCTGTTTTATATAAATTTAGGTAATAAGCTCATTTTATAAGCTCTTGTGGCAGAATAGACGTAGTTCCGATAAATTTGACACTTTCTCCAGTAATTTTTACCTGCGTCATAACTTCTGTAATCTTCCGATGAACTCGCTCGGCAAAAAATGTGTAACCTATAAACTCGATCAATAGCTCAGCGTGCGTTGTCTGTTAAGAATTTGCACGGTAGTGTCCGTCGCTTACGGTTTAGTTTCCCAATTTCGTTAGGACAATTACGATATGCAAGAAAAACAAAGAGGCATGATATTATTTTTTTGATTATTGAATTATTTCCTCTGGCGGTTCGCTTCTCGCTTCTAAAATGTTTGATTTGGGAAAAATACTGCAATTATCCGCTTTTCACCACGCAAGGTGACCGCTTTACAAGTTATGAGAAGATCGTTTCTCGCTCCCAGACCCCGTCTCTTTTCCCCCTTCCTCCTGCTAAATACTACCTGTGATGTTCGCACATAAATGTCATCATTTACGTCACGGGCAAGTCCAAAGTCAGAAATTTTGCACACTTGGTTTTCGCCGACAAGAATATTGCGAGCAGCCAAATCACGATGAATGACCTAAAAGTTATTCAGAAAACCAAACAAACAAAAAAACAAAATAATTAATAAAAATAACAAGGAAAAGGTGTTTGAAACCTGCATGGCAATATGTTTTTAAGCTCTCCCGCACCCAAAAGACAAACACCTGACAGTCTGACTCCCCATATTGTCTAAAAATTGAGACAGGCATCCAAGGTAGTTTCATAGTATTTTTGGTTTTGTGAAGGGTTATCTTACAATCAAAACCGATACAACAATGTCAAAACAATACTTCTTTCGATTGAATGATCTGTACAGATCTAGAAAGGTGACCTTTCGAACCAGAGACCGGTATTGAATTGCGCCATGTGAAATCGCAAAGAGGGTATACGTTGTGCTTTGCTATTATGAGTTTAAGCAAAAGTACTTTGTAGACTATTATACCAGATTACCTTCATTTTGGCCAAATAATGCATTCCATCAGCTATCATCCATGCAAAGGATAAGAGATCTTTTGCTGTAAGCTTGGATTCGGGTTTTTTCTCTCCTGTGTTGTAGTTGTCAGAATGTCCTCTGCTCTTCCTCAGGTATCCCAGTAGATCACCAAATGGTAAATACTCCAAAACGATTAGAAGGGGGCCTGAAGACGTACATGTATATTGTTTTATAATTTGTCAGCAAAATATTCACCTTTATTGAATTTGCAGATCGAGTATCCCTGTACCTAGCCCGCTTAAACGGGCAGTGTGCGCATTTAAGAAGTTAGCTCCAATAATTTTTTCACGGGCCGATAAACCTAGCCCCTTTCTACGAGTCAACACAGCAGTAAGGATTGTATTGGTTCGCAGTAATTAACACACTGTGAGCACAAAGGTTAAGAGGGGGTGCCACGGAAATTCTTGTCATTATTTTAAGCCTCTTAAGATTATGAGCGAGTACTATTTTCTTTTGCACCAATTAACGGCACCTGAAACACTAATAAGAGCACATGTTGAAGAAAATCAATGGAAGTAAGGTAATTTAAAAAAATATATTTTTAGCACTTTGTACCACACAACAAGTATTAATGAGATTCCTGGTCTTCCTTGCACTTTTAAGCTTTAAAAAACCAAACGGGTAAATGCGACGGCAATTCTGGTATATTGAAAAAAAAAATGCACCATATTTAATTATGTTTTCTTTTGTTGAAAATGCATTAATTAGTTTGTTCATAGCTCGTGACAGTGTCCCTTTGAACAGCGTTTTTGAGGTCATACTTGATTTGTAACGCAATGGAATATATAAAGAGGTTTTCATGTTGCCGTGCACCTTTTCAGTATAATAAACTAGCGAGCGTGCTTGCCATGGGCTATTAAGTCGCTATGGTAAATATCTCTGAGTGTACACGTACAGCTGGCGTATAAATGACGACGTGTTATGGATGCAATTTAGAAGCTTGACGGGTACTGGAGAACCTAGAGTTGCTTCGTTTCTCTCTTGCAAACACTTTCAAGACCGCGTGCCATGCTGAACAAAACAACAACAACAACAAAAACAATCTACCCGTGAAGTTATCTTTGTGTCTGTACTGTACTAGGTCACGGGCAACAACCAATCACGTGCGCGTAGCACTGGCTACTTAAAACATATATACACCATTGGAGGAAAAAGATATAGAAATAAATAAAAAAAAACTAAAATGATAATAATAATAATAATAATAACAACAACAACAACAACAACAATAACATACAACTATCCCCCAAAAGGGAGGTGAATAGTGGTGGATTTATATAGCGAGATGCGAGGCGTCGAGGTATATATCTAACGCTGTTCACCGACCCTGAGGGGGATAGTTGTCTTTAGTATTTACCAAATCAGTTAGATAAAACTGACTAAATAGTGAATTTTTGTAAATTAAAAACGCCTGTTAGTAGGAACTTTGTTTACAATTTACAAACATTTCGGGGATTTTGTCAAGTGCATTTTACGATTTTGTTGCAAATTCAGCATGAAAATAATTTTCTACCTACCAGTGAACACCGACAAGCCAAAGTTGGTCGCTTTCTTCGTATTTGTTTGTGCGACTGCTTCATTTATCGCACAAATTTTTACTTCCAAAAATGTCTCGAAATGAGACGCCATCTTGGCGCAAAACTGTGAGTAGCCAAGGATATTCCGAGTTACGGGAGCCAATAAAAACGCGCGAAAATTGCTTTTCACTGATTTGGTAAATACTAATACTACTACTAATAATAATGCTACTTTTTGATATCAGAAACGAAAATTTACTTTTGTTCTGACTTAATTCAAAACACTGGGCTGTGTGCAAGAGATACTGATCGCACCTGAGCCGCAAAGAATGTATTTGGGAAATCGTTATTGACACAGTGATTGTATTTTTATGATTTATACAATTCTTAATGTCATAAATGACATGAACAATTGTATAAATCATAAAAATATATTTCTGTAAATTATGTACATATTTTCAAAGTTGAATAATAATAATAATAATAATAATAATAATTGTTATTATTATTATTATTATCATATGGGACCTGACTTACCACTACTACTACAGCAGCCAATCAGCTTCAAGACATGAGGGTGAGGCTTCAGACTCATCATAACGTTCAATTCTGTAATCATATCCTGTTTATCATTACCTGTGGCGTTTGCTTCATATGAAAAAAAAGTGAATATAAGCTTCTCACCTTTATCCTTTTACTCGAAATACTGCAATAAACTTAAAAACACTGCAAAGACAAATAACTGAGACACACAAACAACTTGAACAAAGACTTTTAACTTAACTAGTCAGTTGAAAAGCTACTAAAGATACGTAACTAATAGACCTCAGCCCGCCACACAGTTAACAACTCAGCGGGTATCCAATTTTGGCAGCTGTGAATAGAAAATGATATGTCTTTCATTGAATTGTTTCTTCCCACCCGACGGACTATTCCTTAGTTTCCGAGGATGCACGATCGCACGACACGTCAATTGGTAACGTTTACATTCTACAGTAAACAATAGCGATTCGCGTTGTGAATTTAACGGAAATCAAAGTTAAACAAAACTCCTCTTTGTCCTGCGAAACTGGTGAAGTGCCCTTCTGAAGCATAAACTTCATTATCATCATCACTATCACCATCATTATTACCATTCAACACCATCACCATCACTGTCATTATCATTATCATTAATGTTGTTCTTGTCTTGTTATTATTATTACTTTGATCCCTACGAAAGGTTTAGTTTTATACTTTCGCATAAAAGGGATTGTAACACGTAAGTAAAGTTTTATTTCACTCATCAAACACACTAAAATTGTCTGCACTTTCTGCCCTTTTCGCGGTCATCGCCAGCGCGGATGACGCTCCCACAAAGATAAGGTAATGTGAAATGTCTTACCTTTGAGGGATTTGACTGCCACAGTATTGTTGTCCAAAGTGGCTTTATAGACTACGCCAAAGTTACCGCTTCCTATTAGCCTTTCTATCTCTATTTTTTCACGCTTCAGCTCGAAAGAGGGACTGTTAATTATTTCCAAGTATTCGCGGGCATTTATGCCATCGTCTTCGTTTCGTTCTTCTTCAGCTTCAAGTAGGTTAAGCTCCTCCATCGGATGTGTGTCAATAATCCCTTCAGGAACATCTATGACATCGTCTTCGTTTTGTTCTTCTTCATCTTCAAGTAGGTTAAGGTTCTCTACATAATGTGTGTTAGTAATCACCTCAGGCACATTTATGACGTCATCTTCGTTTCTTTCTTCCACAACTTCAAGAGGGATAAACTCTTCCACCGAATATGCGTTAGTACTCCCTTCAAAACATATGGATGATTCAATTAGTTTTCTTTAAATGTCACGCTTTATAGCTATTTTTTAAGGTAAAGAATGCTGAAATATGGGTTCAGCCTGTTACCTGGACAATACAGCGTCAGAATGACGCCATATTACGTCATTGTTTCGATTATGAATTCCACGTATGATTAGTATCGATTCAGTATTCTGTGTATTTGATCGATTATTCTGTATTTGGTGGCCCAGGGAACAAAACTGGGGCTCGCGTACAAAAGTCAGTAGTACAAACCACGCGCGAAACAGTAACTGAAAGACGACTTCAAATAAACAGCTTCTCAGCTTCTCATCTCGAAATATGGTAAGCCAGAGTAATTATTGTATTTATATCTAATTTCATGAAGTCCGGCGGCGCAGTTTATGAGGCTATTTTATGCACGTTTGTATTAAGATTTGACTGAGACACTGATCTGACCTAGTATGAGGTTTGATATAAGCTTAAAGTGCCCATCACGTAAAGTTTTATATTTTCTTATCTGAAACTATACCTTATTAAAATAACTTCTTCCAAAAAAATTTTGCAGTGTGAACAAAACGCGATTTTTTCTACCAGTTTTTGAAGTCTACATTTTTGCGGTACACCCGCGCCGCTGATCATGCAAACTAGCAGGCTCACATATGACGTCATGTGACGTAAATTAAGGAACTCGCATTACCCAGCGGTACACAAAAAAGATAAATTACAAGTAAGGATTGAATCACAATGTCTTCGCAAGAAGAAAGTTTTCCTGAAAAAGAAAACCTATCAGAACTCTTAATGTTTTCCTTTCGATAAGGTCACGTGTTCCTTAAAGTACGTCATATGACGCCATACTCCGAGAGAAGACTAAGACGAATGGTGTGCAAAAATGGCAGCAAATTTGAACGTGTTAAAAAAGTTTTAAAAAAATCGTCTTTGGTTCAAATCGCAAATTTTTTTCGCAGAAGTTATTTTAATAAGGTGTAGTTTCAGATAAGAAAATAATAAATTTTAGGTGATGGGTACTTTAAGCTTACAGAACTTTAAAAAGCCTTTAGTCGATATTAATTCACCGTAAATAGAAAGAAAAAACTTTCCGAAGAATATTTAGTTATAATTTTGGCTGTAGAAAGAAAGCTTTGAGCTATTTTCTTGTCGTGAGTTCATCTTTGAAAACAGCAAACACCGGGAAACCGGCGGCTTAAAACATAAACTTAATCTTTAAGCTTACTAGTTAAGACTTGAGGATTCTTAGAGACACTTAAATACTCATTTGTTTTCGTGAATGAAAATTGCTGTCTCTGTAAATGTTCTACCGAATTATATTTCTTTATTGATTGTTGGTAGTCTCAAAAGTGTAATTTTCATCGCTTTGCCGTTTGTTTTCAGGCGTTCATAAACATCGCTTGCAGGAGTACTCAAAATGCCGAGCGTATCAAAAGCATTTTAAGATTACACATCGTTATAAAACCATTAATAAAAAATAGACTCAATAAATTCTTTATCACGTTGAAGCGTAACTCTTTTAAAATTTCTTCGCAAATTTGGCGCTTGTCAAAAGCTAGAACCGGCTGGCCGTATGGGTGATTTTCGAAATTTTTTGAATGGTTTCGCTAATTAAAAGTCCACGCGTGCTTCGATGGTCCTGAGTATTGAATGAATGCAATTTGTCTTGAAAATTTGAGAAATACTGCATTTTGTACAAGGTCTGTATGATAAAAACAGCGCCTCATAGTACTCTTTCTCCTCATATGTGGTGTGTGTGTATATATATATATATATATATATATACCTGGATTTTTGAAAACCGGGTTAGCAAAAATATCAAGTCATTCTACTACTTGGCAATTTAAAACAACAAAACTCATTCAAAGGCCGATTAAAAGCCTTTATATGACGCCGGGCAGTGCGTTAATGGTCCCTAGAAGCATTCCAACGAGTCCAAATTTAGAATGACGCAAATTTTAGAACATTTATTCAGTAAACTGACTTCGCGAAGTTTCAAACCGGTGTCATTTCAGTCTAGAAATTTTTAAGTTGAGTGAGCTGCAGCGAAAGAGTGCCTGGTTAAGGCTTACATAACAACTTAAATAGTTAGCAAAACACTACTTTTCTGGCGGTCCGATAAACAACAGGATTCCGCATGGAATAGACTACAAACTGAATGAAACATAGTGCACAAATTATCACCTTCTTGTCTGCAAAAACCGGCCTATGGTGCAATGCCATTAGAGCCTGCTGAAACTAGACCTAGATCTAATTTTCCTGAGTCGAGAGTTGCTTTTCCAAGGTACAATCAGCTAAGCTAAACACCGACGAAACAATATTAATGGCTGGCACAGAATATTTTGGCGAAACCGCAGTTCAACCACGCAATCACATACCTGTCAACAGCATGCGGAAATCACACAATCACACACTTTCGCGGCACTGATAAGACTATCCACAACCACACATAATCTTCTCACGTTTAACATAAGCGAAATATCATCGAATAACTCGGAAAAACTCAGCCTATTGCCAGATAAACACCTCTGGACCTTTCTCTTACACTCGTCTTATTCAAGATCCCGGATGTACAGTCACACGGTCGGCGGATCACCTTAGCCTTGTTTTCACACCAGAAAAATACTAAGTCTTGGCCCGGGTCAAAGTTTAGCTGCAATTTTGCTCTCAACTAATTCATTTGACTCCTAAGAGCCTGTTCCCGAGGCCAAAGACTTAGTGGTCACCTTAGAAAAGCGAACAATATCGTACCTTTCTGTCTCAGCCCGGATCAGGGAGATTAATCCGTTTAGCCAAATGAAACGAGAATATAATACGATATTGGACGATGCAGACTCTGCGAATCGTAATAACTTTGTCCCATCTCAGAGCTTTACATGATGCTCTCCGGGAAACTTTTCTCAAGGTGACCAATATATAAAACTAAACTGCTAAGCAGCACCGAAACCAGCCTTAAGCGCCCCCTGATTTCAAACTGATAACTGTCACTTGTGTTAAAGAAAGAATTGTGGGTAGGGAAAAAAATGGGGAAGGGGGGGAGGGGGGTTAGATAGTTATTCTGTCTACATCCGCTTCTACACAAATCTCTAACCACAAGACAAGCCAAAAAGACAAACGACATAAGCAAACAGCACAGTAAACAAGCTATTAGACAGCGGAAGTTGAGAAAAATTACAAAATGTTTGCTAACCCGGTTTTCATAACTCCAGGTAGATATATATATATATAATCACAGGAGTTCAGGCTTCAGGAGTAATCATTGATCGTTTATTGCGACAGTGCTGTTTCGTATGGTCCGAAATTGTAGGACCACACTCATCAGGCAACTTCAACGATTGACCGTTAAAATTAAAAGCTGGCAGTAAATATAGGGATGCGTTAAGAGATAGTATCTAGGTAACAGATGGATTGTGTCTTAGTTACGTTACTCTAGAGTTCTGAAGTACATATCTGTTTCTGTGGGGGCATGAACTCGCTAGTTCGTTTCGCCTGTTTAGGCTACAAAGCTCTTTTTTACAAATGATGATAAACTTTTCATAAAGACAAAGATTACATTTTTTGCTAATGTTGCTATATATATATATAAGATTGGTTTGCACGCACCCAATTTATTGGCAAGAATTTGTAAACTTGACGAACGCAAAAAATTCGGCCTGATTTGTTTTCCAAGAATTTGTTTTCCACGCCTTATCTACTGTGATCAAGAGCCATTACTACTCTTAAATGTGACCGAAGACTATTTTTTGGGTGTACATATAAGGCTATATCAACTCGATAAAAGATTTGTTTCACTCCAAAATCACTTAGCTTTTCCCTCAAAAGTCACATGAATGTGCCCTTCAGTTAACTGATTTGTGGAATAAAAAATTATTGTTTGATTTAAGTTATAAATTTATCAATGGGAGCTTCGCTTTTAGCTGTCGCTAAATCTATATATTATTATCTCACGCCTTTATTAGGTGACTATAGATCTAGATCCAAGTCTTTTCGAAATTACCAGGGCTTCAGTATTATTTTTCCGAAAATTTTAGGTACAATTAACTTTTTACAAAATTGGGGATTTTTCTGATTCCTCTCTGCACCACATTTTAGAATCCGAATATTTTAGGTTTCCTTTTTCTAAGAAAAATAGTGTATCCTGGGAAGAAAAATATGAAAAGTTAAACTTCAGAAAATCTTAGGGAATTTCTTAGATAAGCTTTGAAAATTGAACATGAATGGAACGTACATCTAGAAATATTTATCCGTCCTCAAGAAAAAGAAAATTCTAGGCAATACTTGCTTCTCCGAACAGATATTTTACAGAAAAAAGTCGTTGAGTGCACCTGTTATCACCCCGTTTCAATTATCCCAGTGATAGCTAAAGTTTTCGAAAGAATAGTGGATAACCAAGGCTACAATTATCTGCGATGGAGAACAATTCGCTATATTGCAGTCAATCTGGGTTTCGAAGCCTTCACTCTACTGACTTCTCCTTGAGGCCACCAATAACTGGTCATGTAATATTGACCGCGGCAAGGTTAATGCAGTAGTTTTTCTAGATTCAAAGAAAGCTTTGATACTGTTGTTCACGAGATCCTGCTATCAAAACTCAATGCATATACGGTTTCGGGATTTGGGGTGTGCGAGCAACTGGGTTAGGTCATTCTTAAATGGACGCAATCAAAAATGCTTTGCCAACACTCCTGTAAAACAGGTTACTCAGACGAAATCCCTAAGTGTGTACTTTGATAATACAACTTATCTTGAAATGCACACATCAAGTAGTTAGCCTAAAAGATTGTGTCTGGTATTGGGGCTTTGAAGCGTGTTCGAGATTATTTACCAACCACAATGTGGCAATCTATTTTCAAATCTCTTGTTCGAAACCCCATTTTTAATTACTGTAGCGTTACTTGGTACAGTTGCGATCAGTAGATTATTTTAAAACTGACCCTTGTTTAAAAAACGGTCTAACTTTCACTGTGTTAGCGTTTGGATGGACATATTTTTGCCCGGTACCTTTTTCTTGCGTGCGGTCTTCCATTTTGCGTCTTTTACTCCTCCTGAAAAAAGGGGAAAAAAATTCAATTAAACAAGCAAACAATCAGGAAAAAACAACAGCGACAAGGAAGAGTCTATGTAGATAAAGGTAGGAAAACCTGACCAGCAAAGATGTACTGATTAAATATATTAAATTCTGCAAAGCTGATTGTACTAAGTGAGAATTAACTTTGCAAGACATAAACATGACAACAATAGAATCCAAATCAGAGTGGAGTTGTAACCGTTGACAGCTGTTTCGCAACTATCACCGCAAACAAGATGACCACGACCATGACCATGACCACTACCACTACCACTACCACTACCCGGGCTACCGCTACTCGAATTCGTAGAAATGTTTCAGATTGGTAACTTTTTAAGTTAACTTGAATAAGGCATTAACCTACCTTTTGAAGCGAAAGACGACAATAATGGTCGTGATGGTAAGGAGAAGTAACAGCAAACCGCCACCACCAGCCCCGCTGGCAATCACCATCTTTTCCTTAGATGATGGACCTCCTTCGCCAGGAGCACCAGTTTAACAGTTTGATGGAATAAACAAAGCGGTACACATATATATAAGAGATAAGAGATCTTAGTGAGGAACACTTTAATCCTGACACTGGATATTTCAGTAAAATCACCATTCGTTCATTCCCGATTTTAAAACAAGTTAATTCAGGAAATGTATCGATCTTCCTCTCTCTTCCTCCCTTCCTCTCTCTTCCTCTCCCTCTCTCTCTATCTATCTCTTCATATCTTCAGCATATTTTGGATCTCTAAATGATTTCATATATTAATAGATTATATAAATTTTCTCATCCGGCCTCCAGACAATAATTGTTTTACCCTCTCATTAATCTCATAATATCATAGGTGACGAATTACTCCTTAATTTTGGCGCGAAATTTCAGCGTCAATTTGTAATTTTACTTGATTGCCATGGCAACCCTTCAGTACGTCTCAGTGTCAAGATGGCGACGAAGTTTTAAAATGCCGCGAATGAAGATGTCAGGGCACAGAAAGACGCTTTAGAAAACGCGAACACACAAGAGAACATCAAGAAGGACTCTAACAGGTATTTTGCAGAAAAAGTCTGAACAATTCTGAACTTTACAAGCCAAATTTAAGGTTGAGAGAGTGGAGTTCTTGATCGATATGATCCAGGATAAACATGTCAGACTGAATCCAAGATTGCTAACGTAATTCGTCACCCATGATATTAATAGGTAATCAAATGGTGTACTCGTGAAATTAGGGAATAATTTCACTTGTATTTTGTCCAAATCCTAATAATTTAATTTAATAATAATTATAAGGATTTGGACAAAACGCACGTGAAATTATTCCCTAATTTCACTCGTCACCATTTGATGACACATACTAATCGCTTAGCTCTCTTGATTGTGGCCTTTCTATTGGTAATGCCGCTACTGGTGTTTTTGTGTTTTTATTCTTTTTGCTTAATAACTGAATAATTTTATCGCCCGCTTTTTCGCCAGCATATACACCGGTCTTAGTAGCAGCTTTTTGAACAGCTTTTTTGGTTGCTGTTTTAGCAGCTTCTTTTACCGTCTTTCCAAACAACTTTTTGCCGATCGTTTTGAAAACATCGGTAATACCTTCCCCATAAATATGCTTCTTAACATATCTACCCATTTTAACATCATAACGTCTCTTGAATTCTGATTGTTTGATGTATACTATTTGGTTAGATTATTATACTGGTTTGGATCGCAATATTAGGGTCATAGACCAGTCAATCTTATTTAGACCAATCGGTCGTCCCAATGAATCTGTGATATAAAATCTCATTTGACTGATATTTAGTTGTGAAACTTCATTAAACAATTTTTTTTCTGGGTTCAAATGTAAATGGAAAGCTTCTTGTCAAATTGTCAGTTGGAATAACAGCTAGAGTATTGGTGTTAACACCGTTCAAAATACTATTTGTAATGGCATCTGTATTGATATAAATCATATCGATGGAATTTGTGATATTGGGAAGATTTCCATCCCCATATTCTGTTTTCTTCACAATTTTCTCTGTAAATCCAATTAACTCGCAAAATTTGCTATTTCTGAGATCCAGTTGGTAATTGTTGTCAATCTGAATGAGAATCTTACATGTGGACAATAATAGTAGTAATGTAGTATACATCATCCTTTTTTGCATTAGTAGTTTTATGGCCCTTCTTTTTCATGTACTGTTGTAAATAATCATTCAGGTCTGAGTAAGTGTACATCCCATCAATAAATTTGACTGTTTCCCATGAATTTCCACCATCAGTTGAGTATTTTATCTTGTTATTTTGATACTGATCTGAAATATTGTGCCAACTGTAAGTCATTGTAACCTTATCCAATGCTATTTCGTGTGTCATATCATTTTGGAGTTTTAAAACTGGATCGAATTTGATTATGAAATCCTCTGCTTTATTTTTCCCGATTTTCTGTCTATCAACACATGAAATATGGATTGCTCTTCCTCGCATTATATTATTGATTACATTATATACTCCCTCAACAGATTGTTAAGCTGGTTATTAATTAGAATAGCTAATTTGTTCAGTGTGTGAGCAATTTTGGAAAATTCATTTTTCACACCATTATTTCCAGCCAATATGGATCCACCTAACAATTCCAATCTGTTCAAGAGGTCAGCTGGGTTATTATAATTAACAACCCCTGAACCGATTTTTTTGTATTTATTACTTGTTCGGTGAATTGGAATATCACTTATTCTGTTAAGGTCGTCAAATACCATTTTTGATCATGGTGAATATTTCTTTTTACTGTTGAATCTCTTTGTGAGCAGATCAAGGGTATCAAAGTCCACTTGCTTATCATAGACTTTTTTACCATCTTTATGAGCAATTAGTTTAAGCTGGCCATAAAGGTTGGGCACATCAATGTTTACATTTCCATAAACACCAGTATTGGAGTTAATCTTATAAGCGTTTCTCTTTTTTTGTGTGTAAATACCCTGACCAACTTTCGATGTTTCTGCACCTTCCTCTAAAATACCAATTCTTTGTCTGTATTTTTTTATGATATCAATTCCTTCATTATACTCGGCAATTTCATCCTTATTTCTCTTTCTATTAGTTTTTGTTGTGCTTAAACTGGCTTTTTTCTGACCTAAGTCCTTATTTATTTTACCAGATTTATCTGATATTTGTTTCGCATAATTTGGCTCTTTTAAGGTTTGCAAAAAAATGTCAGCTAGCAATAGCAATTGCTGGTTTTGAATGAATGCCAGTTCTTCTTGAGTGAATCCCTTGTTCCTATCAGCTACCATCTTAGGCGCCACCTCACCACTTGGGCCTGGTAATGCTAATCTTTGAACTTGCTCAGCGTATGGGACAACTTGTTTTGAAACATCTTCTCTTAATTTACTAATCTCTTCTATTTCCTTATCAAACTTTTCCGTTAGAGGTTTCAGGTCTTTAGCCACCTTTCCATATGCATCCTGATCTCTAGTTCGGACTTCTTTCATAACATCCCTAACAACTTCAGTCATTTTCCCTGCTTCAATTTTAGGAATACTGAGTCTCTTGAATCTTTCAATATCCATTATACTATTGTGTTATATAAAACTTATCTCAACTTATTTTAACTTATCCTAAGTTATCTAATGTAATAGTATCCAAAAGATATCAGATTAAACTGCAGTCATTATGTTGTTTATGATTTCCCGAGCAGTAATGAGAGAAGTATGATCTCTAGAGAGCTGAATGTGACAAAGGATCAATATATTAAAGCCACCAAACAACCATACTCATTCCTGTATGTTGACAAACTAAGGAAGACTGTCAAAAGAAACTTTTATGGAAATATCTAATATAATAATATAAAATGGGAATTTTTAGTCAGCAACCCAATTATCATCAACCAAAGGGAAAACGCGGTGTTACTGGCCCCAAGGACCTCCTGGCCCGCCTGGCCCCACTGGTGCTCAGGGTGGCCCTATTGGCCCCATTGGCCCTACTGGTGTTCATGGTCCTACTGGCCCGACTGGTGTTCGTGGACCTCGTGGCTTTACTGGCCCTACCGGTGCAGCGGGTCCTATTGGCCCCACTGGCCCTCGTGGTGCTACTGGTGCATCAGGCACTGGTTTTAATCTCGCATCAGATGGCAATTATAATATGACAAACAAAAAACTAACAAATATCGCTAAGGGGACTGCTTCCAGTGATGCCATAGCAAAACAGCAACTTGATACTAAACTATCACTTTCTGGTGGGTTAATGACCGACAATTTGGATATGAATAGCAATAGGATATACAATGTAGCTCAACCAAATGGTAATAATCAACCAGCTACAAAAATATGGTCAGAAAATAAATTTCTGGATAAGTCCAGTGGAGTAATCACTGGACCACTAAATATGTCCAATAATAAAATTACTCATCTTGCCAAACCAACTGATGATAAAAATGCTACAAATAAAAAATACATAAATGATAATTATTTGAAACTATCTGGTGGAAGAGGGGTGCTTAGAACTGGAAGACATTAATTCTTCTTATTTGCAAATGGATGGATGGAAAATTAGAGGAGCGCATAACCAGGGTTTTAAAGTAGTTCATTTTCAATTTTTTTTTCTTTGATCCACCTGAACAGTAGTTAAAAGAATATGAATGGACTGGCCAGAATTACTTTAGGGAATGGACCAGTCTGAATGACACTAAGTTGTAATAATTAATAGTCAGGGAGAATGGCGTCTGAAGTAAACAAAACCAGATTTTTTTTCACTAAATTGAATAACAATAGATATCATGGCAAAACATTTCACTAGTCAGGGTGTTTTTTTATCGTTCCTGTTTTTAAAGTACATTTGCCCAGTATTCGTTCGTAGTACCATAAACAACCTTATGAGAAAGCTTTAAGGCACGGTACAAGTACGTTTTCTACCAGCGACCGCTTTCATTTTTAATACCGGTTTGCGCACACCTTGCCAGTTAAATGCTCATTATTTTTCGCTTTATTTGTTCTTCCATCACTCGTCTGTTATAGGTTTAAAGCGATCTGCGTCCCTCGAACTGTAAATAGACTTTTTGGCTATAATTGTCCTAACGGCAAGAAAATTTCCCCTTTCTTTCGTTAAAAATTCTATGCGCGCAACATTAAAACATTCTTTATTCGTCACAGTTCAAGGCAATGCATCGAAATGATAGTAAATATTACTTGACATTTTGTACTCTTGCAGGGCCAAGACTTTCAGACTCTAAAATTAGTGACACTGTAAACATAATTAGAAACACTAAAAATAGTCATGGGACGCCATTTTGGTGGTTTTTGCGTTGAGAAGATACAACTTTTTGGCTTTTCTTTAGTGCCATGCCACTTCATATTGCATATTATTTGTACAAACCACTTCCTAGATAAATGTACTATCTCTCACAAAAGGGATTTCTTGTCCCAAAGCCCACGACAAAAGTCTCGAATACTTCAACAATTTTTTTCTGAAAACTGTGAATTTTTCTCCTTCTGCTTGGTGTCGACTCTTGAAACCGCCAGTGTTTGAAAACTTATCACAATTTTATCGATGAAACCATCTTATTTTCGTTTTACAACGACTTCCTCATTTTATCGTGCATTTTTGTCTTGGCTTAGGGGCCCATCAAACATCGTTTAGCTAAACTAAGCTATTATTAGTGAGTTGCGTGCGAATTATCATGTACTTTCAAATTTTCCACAGCGTCAGTGAATAGGCTCATATCGCTGTTTTAGTTAAAATATCATCACTACGATGAAAGTCACACGTTTTCATTGTACAACAACTTACTTTATTTAACAGTAATTCATTCCTGTGCTGAAAACTCCGGGAATAATGACGGACAGTTCAGGAAAGGCGAAATTTTGCTCTATGTCTCGCGGGTTTCGCTGCGCCGAACACGGTAGGTTTTGACTCACCGGGTTGGATTGATCCGTCGATCACTCGTCACGATTTCCCTTTATAGTGCCAAGCCTCTGCCACAAAAAGTAAGTACCAATGTATGTTTTCGGGAAACGAAACAGTTTCCATTTAAACCGGGTCCTTCTTGCACAAACAGACTATCAATTTGAGTGAGAGAAAATGTTAACCGACGCCTCCAAAGTTGCCTCTCGCTTTCCCGTTCTTTCCGGCTCTTAGAATCACTTTTTACAGATTGACCAATGAAATCACAGATGAGATTAACTAATCAGACAAAAGTCTCCTTTGTTCTCTTACCCCCATATCCTATACTACTTACTAGTTTAAAAGGAAGCTAAAACGTGGATACCTTGATCGGTGTTAAGTTCATTAATGCCTGTTCCTAAGCAATTATTTAGGATATAACGAGTTGTTTTTCTAAAGATAACACTGTTCTAAGACATTTTCGGGTATCGCAAACATCTTCTATAAGCCGTCCCTTAAAGCAGCTTTAATTTGCAACATTGACCACGGTGAATGGTAAGTTGATTTGTCTATGCAGGTAAACAACTCGAGAGCCATAATCCTGCCTTTAGCCAATTATATATTACCTACCTTTTTTATCGAGGAATACCGTATCACAGTTCCATTTGTCTCTATCTTTGACGTGTTCAGTTAAGTCACTGACACAGCAAACTCGAAACATCAGGAAACTACCAGAAGGCAAGCCATGTATTGTCACAGTACCATCTGGGATGTTGTCCTTGTTTGGTTTGTACTGTACACTTGAACCACAAGAATCCTTGCAGTCCTTGTCCCTCTTGGACTTGCATCTGAAGCAGTCCACAAAATATCTTAACTTTCCATCAATGTCATCAGGTGAAAGTTCCCACTTTATCTCTACGTAAGTTTCCTTCACAACAATGACATAAGCAATTCTCGATGCCTTTACTGAGAAAGCTGAGGGAGGAAAGATTTACATAAGTCAGCATAATCTGAGAGATTTCCATTACGTAGCTACGTCACGCTATTTACTATAGCTTACTATCTTTCTAAAACGACAAATCGTATCTTTGCATCAGTCGGATTCCCAAAAACAATAGTGGCGCGGTTTTTTAAAATTTATAATTATACTTAAGCATTGGAACTGTTTTTTGTCGTCTAGATCTGTTGTTGGGATGAAACTTTGAAAATTGATCCAATACTTGTTTAGAAAGAAGCTAAAACGTGGATACTTTGATCGTTGTTAAGTTCACTTGCCTATTCCTAAGCAAATTTATGATATACCAGGATGTTGTTCTAAAGATAACCCTGTTCTATTAAAGACATTTTCGGAATCGTAAAGGCCTTCCATAAGTCGTCCCTCAGAGCGGCTTTAAATTTTTATCACGGCAACGCTGTATGGTAAGTTAAGCAGGTAGACAACTCGAAAGCCGCAATCCTGGCTTCAGCCATTGATTATTATTACTTACCTTTGGTTCTTACTAATACCGTATCATAGTAACTAGCTAACAAAACGAAAAATATCTGCACTAGGTATAGCGAAATCTTCAATAAATGACTTCGATGAACAAGACATACAGTATGCAGCTCGAAAAAAAGAAATGAACTACGCGCAAAAAAAGTATCATTATGATAAATTATTTCTTTTTGGAGAAAAATACAATAATATTATCACCCTAAAATCGGTAGATAAATAAGAATATTCCGCCTGGGCAAGAAAAACATTATTATGCGATCAGCGGTAAGCGAGCCAAGATGGCTGCCTAATTGTGTGCTCCACAAATTTATTGCAATCAAAGTTATATTCTCTCATTATTGGACCAAAAAGGTAACCTCCTATGGTTAATCATGCTATCGATCCAACTGATTCGAATTTTTAAGATCACTGGGATAAATTAGAGATCAAACTTAACGAGGGGGTTAAATCATTACTCCCGGGCCTCGTTGCAAGCATTATGCAATCTCATGTCACTAAAATCGTCGACGACTATATCTTATCGACTGAGTTTCAAAGATCTCTGGCTGATAGTATCAACTTCGATGCCGCCGGTTTTGAAACTCAACTTGGCTCATCGGCAAAAAGTTAAATGAACTAATAAATTCAAATCAAGCAAAGATAGCCAAACTGGATGAAGAGTTAACCAAACTTAAGAATAATCTAGCGCTGAAAGACAAAGCCATAGCAGGTCTTGAACATGACAATTATAGACTATCACAAGAAGTAGACGACCTGGAGCAATACACAAGAAGAACCAATGTTCGGATCTATGGCGTTGCTGAACAGCCAGTAGAGAACACTGATAATCTTGCAGTCGACTTCTTCAAATCTGAACTCAAAGTGGATGTTGCTTAAAATGACATAAGTAGATGTCATCGTGTAGACAAGAAATCTGGAGCCAAACCAAGATCTATTATTGTGCGGTTTACTAAGCAACACTTAAGTTGCGCCATGTCTCGCCGCCCTGTGCTCAAGGAACGTAAACATCCATTCAACCTTCAAGAAGAATTAACCATCAATCGCCGCGAAATTCTTAAATACTTAAGGATATTGAAGAAAGCATTGTCAGCAAAGTCTGGACTGTGGATGGAGTAATATGTTTTCGGCCCTCTGATGACAGCTCTGTCATTGAACCCTGTACTTCTTTAGAGGATTGTCAGGAGATCATAGCTAAGTATTGCGAATAGTCTGAACTTATGTTTATTTACTTGAAGTGACTGACAACTCTGTCATTGAACGCTGTCAATCTAACTTTTTCTTGCCGTAACTGAATTGCACTACACTACTATTAACAACTATTTACAATCTAATAAATATTGTAAGCTAAAATATATAAACATTTAAAATAAAACAAGATTCGATTTATATATATATATATATATATATATATATATATATATATATATATATATAAAATTATTAAATGATAAAATGATGCAAGCATTGTTGTTCCTTAAAAATCTTGGCAAACATGTTCTTTTTAAAACATGCTACAGAATCTAGTTTCCTAATTTCAATTGGTGTACTATTCCACAGTCTTGTTGCCGAAACAGCGAAAGAGCGTCCTCCCTCTGTTTCTCTTCTATATTTAGGACAAACAGCATTAATGCTTGAATATCTAGTGTTGCGGGAGCGCCGCTTATTATTCAAAATTAAGTGTTCATTTAGATAATTCGGCAAATACCCATTAATTCGCTTATACATTATTATGCATTTATCAATCTTGTGTTGCTCATAAAACGGAATCCAACCTAGCTTGTTAAACAAAGCAACTGATGGTGTCATGCGATCGTCATAAGAAATAACGCGTGCCGCACGTTTTTGCAATCTTAAGACCCTATAAACCGACTCTTTATCGCAATTTGCCCAAACAACGTTAGCGTAAGACATAACAGGACGAATAATGCTATTATAAAACTGAAGTCGCTGTTTAAGAGGTAGACAGGCTCGAATCTTACGCAGTATTGCGATTCTAGAGGCCAACTTTTTACATACTTTCTCAATATGTTCATTAAATGACAATTTGCTGTCGATTTCTACGCCTAATAAGGTAGCACAATCCACATTACTGAGCTGTTTTCCGTTTACGAAAACATCTATGTCACTTCCATTTATGTTAGCCACACAACTTTTCCCAGTGATCGTGAGTACTTTAGTCTTCATTTAATGGGAGCTTATTCGCTGAAGCCCGTAATTGAATTTCAGAGACAGACTAATTTAGTGATGAACTTAAGGTGGCTAAGTTTTTTACATCCGCAAAAGCGGTGACAGTCGTATCGTCTGCGTAAAGGTCCAACTGAGCACTTGTATACAAGGGCAGATCGTTGATAAACAAAATGAAGAATAAAGGACCTAAAATACTGCCCTGAGGGACTCCATGCAACATCAATGCTTCGCTTGACTCACTCCCGTTTACACGGACCACTTGCTTCCTATCCAACAAGTAAGAGTGACACCAGGCAAGCTCCCGGTTGACTATACCGTACAGTTCCAACTTGCGCAACAATAGCTTATGGTCCACCATGTCGAAAGCCTTTCGATAATCAACCAGGACCATGCCGCATACATGATTATTATCTAAGCCGAACAAAAGCTCGTCAACTAACTTGATTAGAGCAGTCTCGGTACTGTACATCCTACGAAACCCAGACTGTCTAGAATACAACAAGTTATTATCCATAAGGAAAGCATATAGAGAGTTGTGCATATGACGTTCGATTACTTTTGACACCACCGGTAGCACAGAAATTGGGCGATAATTAGAAGGATCACTGGCCGCACCTTGTTTGAACAGTGGTGTCACATTAGCAGTTTTCCAACGAGTAGGAAACTTTCCTGTGGAAAACGACATGTTGATAAGCCTTGCTATGCTTGGAGCTAAAATAGGAGCGGCAATACGCAAAAACCTGGCGCTGATTTTATCGATACCTGCAGCCTTATGAGGACTGATCCCCTTTATAATCTGAAGCACCTGAGCATTGGTTATGTCTGGAACAGAGAAAACCACATCCGGATCTTTGCAAGACTCAACAAAGTTTACCAACTTGGACAAGTCTGATGGTGTATTTCCGAGTCCGGATCTCAGATTATCAGCGATTGAGGAAAAATATGAATTAAACTGCTCCGCAATTTCTGTAGCATTTTCAACAGCCTTGCCATCCAACTGAAGCTTACTAATCCCTTTATTCATCTTTCCAGAACCTGTCAATGTTTTTATCGTATTCCACGTTGTTAATGATAAAATTATATATAGTTTTTGTACTTACCGGCAAATAATAATTGAATTCGTTATTAGTTAAGTCAACTTGCTTAACACTTAACACTTAAGGTTAATTTTATATTGATTTTTTTGTTTTAAATTTATTTATTTATTTGTTACTTTTTTTTTTCTTTTATCGTATGCCCAAGGGCCAAAATGTCAAAGTATGTAAAAAATCCGTGTTCTATAAGCAAATTTCGAGTTCATAATAACCACAAAGCTATCTTTTGCAATATTTGGCACTTATGGACACATCTTAAATGTACCCCACTTTCTCTTTCAGAATATAATGACTTGACTCATTCCCATGATGACTGGTATTGTCCTAGCTGCCTCTCTGACACGTTTCCTTCTAATCATTTTGATACGGTCCTCAAATTTGGAATGACATTCCTCTCTCACTTCGTAATTCACTTACTCTTTCTAGTTATAAACATAAACTGAGAGATTATTTTCAACCATTATAAGTTTAAACTAAGTTGAACTCAAATTTTTCTACCTTCAAACTCTTTTCTTTATTACTTTTTGCACACTATCATTAATTGTTATGTTTATTTTGCTTTATATGCAGTAATAATTCTTTATATGCTGTAATAGTTTGCCTTTTCTCTATTAATCTTGTAATTATTAATTTTTATTCTCATTGTAACTTAGCAGCACATTGTAACTCTCTGACCTACGCCATATAAGCCTCTGGATTTGGCATCTTATTATCGTTAACTTGTGCTTTGTGTTCTTATTTATCAATAAAGAATGTAATGTATGATGATTAGAGCAGTTTACGACGTATGCATGCTTAGAAAATTAGCCACACAGGGCGGAAAGCGTAGCCTATTATGCTGTTTTACAGGAATTCAACACTAAAAAGGTGATAACGAGTTAAATCTACACTGGTACAATAAAAAGAAATCCCAAGGAATCCTAGAACAGTGCAAACCTAAGCTTTATATAATGTAACGTATTAATGTATTATAAAAACAAATCCTGCCGACTTTATTTTGTTCGTTTGCTGTTTGTTTCGTTTTTACACGGTCGCGTTTAAACTTTGCCCGGAATTAAATAAAGGCCTTGTTTAACAGCTAAGCGCGCGTGAATGGAATAGGTGCATTCCCCTTTTCCCTTCCATTTACGAACGACTTGACACCCGTTAGGAAGATATGGACACCCACCCCGAAGCTCGTCAGTCAAAGCGCCAAATAGTATACATCTCAAGCCACTCTCTATGCGTTTTTCATACCTGCATCGTACTCCACAGTAGCCTAATTGAGATAACTGATTTATTAAAAATCAAGCTGTTGATTCATATAACACAAAAGGTTTCAACGATCTTTGATTGCCCCTTTCTCGACTAACTACGGTAAACAATAATTTATTTTTGTTCAAAAATCCAAGCTGGAAACCTTTTTAATAGACCCTTATTTTTTTCAGACTTTGTTACTTTATTTACCGCTTTTAAGATGTTGACCCTTTTTAAATTCATGAGCCAATAATTGCTTTATTACCTTTATTTAATGAATCATTAATTACTTAATTAATCAAGTAATTAAGTTAATTAATGAAGGTCTCTTTGAAAACCTATAGCTGAGTTGTGATGAGTTAATTATTATCATCATTAACATTATTACAGCTATTATTATTTTTATTATGACTATTGTTATTATTATTATTATTGTTATTATTATTAACATTTATTTTTTTATTGCAACAGTAACGTATCCCATGAAAGGCTCCGTAGGACCT